GTTCTGCCCTTGCCCTGGCTTCCCTGCGAACGTGACGGAGCGCGGTCGACCAGGGCGTTGCTGTCCACCTCCTCGAGGCACCTCATTGGCAGAGGACATTTTCCGTGGCGAACTTGGCACCGCACCTGGTGCACTGAGTAGTTCCGCGATGACCCAGGCCCAACCGCTGCAGCCGTGCCACGAGGGCGCCCTGCCGAATCCTTCAAAGGCAGAAATACGACCCCCAAGACGAATAGTGCAAGAAGGCCCTTCCAGCTGGGAGGTCGGTCCACGCGCTGCCGTGGACGACGCGTGACCAAAACGGTTTGGGCCCTGGCTACGGATGGCAGCCAAGGCAAATCACTGGTTTTCGGGCGTCTATAGCCCTTCACAACTTGTAGCCTTGAGCCAACATGGCTTGAGCATAAATGGCTACGGAAAAAAAAGAAGAAGAAGATGAAGAGGACCTCACCACCCTCCCTTCTCCACCGTCCACCGTCCAACGTCCTCCTCTTCCTCCTCCACCTCCTCCTCATCCTCCTCCTCCTCATCCTCCTCCTCCCCCCTCCCCCTCCTCCTCCTCCTCCTCTCCTCCTCCTCTCCCTCCCTCTTCCTCCCCCTTCACCCCCCCTCCTCCTCCTCCTCCTCTTCCTCCTCTTCCTCCTCCTCCTCCTCTTCCTCCTCCTCCTCCTCCCTTCGATGCATGGTGGCCTTCACGCCAGGACCTGAGCCTCTGGCGGCCAGTCGGGGTGATCTGGGCGCCCTGGACAAGCGCTTGACGAGGCGCAGCTGTTGCAAAGCGTCCCGTGGCGAGAAGGCCTCAAAGAGCCAACGACGGCGACGACGACGACGACGACGACGACGACAACGGCGGCGGCGGCGGCGAGCGGCGGAAGAACCGCACCGCTGGGGCCCCCGACAAGAGGATATGGGTCCTGGACCCAACGGGCGGAGGTGTGCAGCTTTGGTATTTTGGTTTTTTTTAATAACCGTGGGGAGGTACCCCCGACGGGGGTCAACCTCGCCTCGTCGTCGCGCCGCGACGGGGGTCGGAGCGCCTTCGGCGCGCGGTGACTGCCCAGGACGGGGGTCGATACGAGGCTGTCGGCGGGGGTGACACCCCCCGACGCTTATTAAGAAACTCGGAGTATGCTTATGTGTGTTCGTTCTTTTCTCGGGCGCGCGCAATCTTCAAATCAACAAATCGGAGAATGCACCCCCGGAAGCACCATGCCAATACCGCCAAATTCAGACGGAAACGGGACCCGTCGCTAAACCACCCTTGAATACATGCGTGGTTCCCGTGTTGGAAACTGGCTGGATGGGCCTCGAGCAAATGTTAAGAGGGAAGGACGAAGGCAAATCCGCTCAACAGCAATCCCTGGACCACTCCCAGGGTCGAAACGGACTAATGTTTCGAGCCGCGTCCAGCCGTGGCGACGAGGCATTCCTTTTTATCCCCCCCCTGTGCTGGTCGAAACCAATGCTGGGCCACCTCAGCCCCCCCATCCAGCTATGGTGTACCTCTCCTTCGATACAAGAACCCAGACCCCCGACGTCATTAGTTTCCCAAGACCTGACCCCCGGAAACCCTGAGCCCTTCCCAGGGACCGCCTCTCCATCCTAGTCGATTCTCTGATGTTCCCGAATTTTGTTGATGGGCCCCCTGAACTTGAAAATAACGAGAGACCGTCCGTCGGGGGGGGGGGAGGGAAAGGAGAGAGGGGGGAGGGGGGACAGGAGAAAGGGGGGGGGGGCATGAGAGAGGAGGGGGGGTGGGAGGGGGAGGGGGGGTGGGATCATCACCATCTCCATCACCATCTCCATCATCATCACCATCACCATCACCATCACCATCACCATCGTCACATCACCATCATCATCATCATCATCATCACCATCATCAGCATCAGCATCAGCATCAGCATCAGCATCATCAGCATCAGCATCAGCATCAGCATCAGCATCAGCATCAGCATCAGCATCAACATCAGCATCATCATCATCATCATCATCATCATCATCATCAACATCAACATCATCATCATCATCCGGAGCGCCCCAGATCGGCGGCACTGGCTGGAGGCCACTACAATGACGAGAAACCGTCCGTCGTGATGTTTCCACGACGCGGCGGAGATCCTCGAAGGAAACCATCCTGTGCGCGCTGCGGCGGGGCGCCCGGCCGCGAGCGCCGCGCCGGCCTCTCCTGCCACTCGGCCGTGCCCTTGAGGCTGGCCTCGAACTGGCGCACCGCGTGGAGCCTCTCCTCCAGGGCAGCGAGACCGCTGCAACGAGACAATTTCCGTACATGTTCGTCCGACATGTCATCCTCCTCCTCTTCCTCCTCCTCCTCCTCTTACTCCTCTTGTTCGTCTTCTCCCTATTATGATTATCATTCGAATCATTAGTATTGTTATTATTATTATTATTATCATTTATATTTTTATTCTCATATGTATTATAATTACTACTATTAAGTGTAGTGTGATGGATATTCCTCGTATTAGTATTATTATTGCTCGTCGTCTTAATATTTAATATTACCCTTCCTGATAATATTCTTAGTACTCTTACCATACTACTATGAGTAATATCATTATTATTAGCGTTATTATTATTACGCGTCTTCATAATATGTGCATTTCTACGTGTCATTTTCTTATTAATATTCTCCCTGTCGTAATAATATTTTATTAGTATTACTACGACTATTCCTCTTAATGTTACGAGTGCTATCATTATTCTGACTCGTATCGTAACAGTATTCTTAGTATATGTTATTCGCCTTCTTTTTACTGGGATCAATCTTCCCCTTGAAAAAATATCAGTTGCCTTCTTAGTAGTGTTATCATTAGTGTTGCTCGTATTCTTCTTATGCTTATTATTACTACTTATTAGTACTGTTCGTTGTTAATAGGTTTCTTAGTATTATGAATTTTGCTTATTCTGACTACTAGTCTTATTCTCAGTATTGGTAGTATTATTGCTATTCGTTTTCGTAGTATTAGAACTATTCTTACTATGATTCGTACTATTCTTACGAGTTTTAGTGTCGTATGCTTGTCATGATTATTAGTTGCTTCCGTTTAGTATTATTCTTACTAGAACTGTTCTCTTTATCCTTTGTATTATTTTGAAAATTCGAAGTCTCACTATCATCATTCAGATTGTTGATTTTCGGATTCGTATTAGTGTTATTCTTCTTCATACTATTATTAATGATACTATGTGTCTTCTTCTTATTCTCCTCCTCTTCCTTATTATTATTCTTGCTATTACTATGGTTAATATCATGATTATTATGCTTATTCCTCCTCGTCCTTCTCCTCCTCCTCCTCCCCCTCCTCCAGCTCCTCCTGTCGATCGGCTGTTTCTTCTCTCGGCCGCCAAAGCGCGATCGCGCCGCGCCGTCGCCCTCCGCCGCGGGCCGGGGGGCGGCGTCCCCGCTACAGTGGGACAGTTTCCGTTGATCGGTTCCAGAAGGTTTCCCGTCCTGGGATGCGTTTCAACAGCTGCGCTTCGCAGAGAAACTACTACAAAGAGGAATGCCCAGATCGACCCTATCGGCACGAGCTACGACACAGGAGCCACTCTCGACAATATGCGTACAGCATACATACGGATACATGCATACATGTTGTGTGAAACTGCGTATAACGGAATAGTGTGTGCTACATTTACATGTGTGGCTGCACCAGCAAAGTTGTAAAGTATGTATGGGTATATTTATATGTAGTATCCACACACAAATACATAAATGCATGCATTCATACAAACATGCACTCATGCATACACGAACACATTCATACATGCAATCATACCTCCATACGTACATACATACATGCATACAAACATACATATACCACGAAGCATCGCCACTCCAAAATGTTGGGGGCCGAGCTAGGCCGCCAATAGAGAGCTGCGATCGCTGCGAGATCCCACGCCCCGTCCCGAGCACAAGAAATTGCTGCCATTGGGTTCAGGAAAAGAAAGAGGCCACGACGGGGGAGGAGATAACAAAACCAAAAAATTGGGGCAAGACTTGGCCCGCAGGGTCCAAAACATGCCAAGAAGCGACCTGTGCCTTCCAGGGCCTGGCGGGCGTTGCCGGCGCGCCGACACGCTCTCACCGTGCATCGGCGCCCCCCGCGATTACACGTCTTGGAGGGCGCCTAAGAAGCGAGCTCCCTAACGCCAAGCCACGCCATAGATACAGCAATCTGAAATGACGGACTTGGCATTTTTTCCGAGAACAAGAACTTACTTTTACAAAACACAGCCTAGGACGCGCGAGGGTTCTCGACAACCCACGGGTCCCCACACCCATTGCATTCACGCGCGAACAAACATACGGCGCCGACCAGCTCATTAGCACAGGAGAGGCTGAATTAGGCAGCCCATACAGGACGGTGTCGGAGCGGAAGGGCCGAGGGACATTCGGACGATCAGCGACGCAGGGACAAGCATTGCACGGGATACTGAACAACACGAAAAGAAGGCGGCCAGCACAGATAATATCTCGAAGTCTTCTCACGACTGCGAGACTCAGGACATCGCCGCCAGGCCCATTTAGCACATCGCAGGCGTCGGCGGGCACTCCAACTCTGGCCAGCGACCGCGCCAGCTGCCCGCAACCAGCGGAGACATCGGCGGCCCGCCTCCGCCCCGCGCGCGGGGCGGCCGAGGCAGCCGGCATGGCCGACCAAGGAGCCCACCCACGATTGACGACTCGGCAGCGCTGACGCAATCGAGGAGTTCCACTCGCCAGCGTCATCTGCATCGCGCCGCGCCGTTCGCACCTCTTCACCGACGCGAGGGTGGCCCGCCAGCCGCGCTCGGCGACGTCGGCCAGGGCGCGGCGCCCTGGGAGCGCATCGCGGCTCGGGCTGCTGCACGGCAGCTGGCAAGTGCTGAGGTTGCGCTTCTCGAGCCCGAGGTCGACGCGGGCCCGGTCGAACTCGCTCCTGAACACGCTGGGCACTGTTCTGGACAACAGGTCTCGTGGACCGCGTTGGCCAATGATCAACTCCAGTGGTCACCTGGAAGGCCAGATCGGAGATGGTGACCGCGCCGTCCGCGCCGTCGAGCACCTCCATCTTGGCCAGTACGCTGGCGACCGACGGGCCGAGGGTGAGCGCGCCGCGCCCGTGCCCGCGGCGGCTGTTCACCGGCGGCGCGAAATCCTCGGCCCGGAACTGCGTCGCCTCGCCAGCGCGAAGGCACGCGCCGCGCATCGCCAGCGCCCGCCGGGCACTTTCGAGACGACCACGCAAGAGCATCGCCGAGACGACCCCCGCCGCCAAGGCACGCGGCCGCCCGAAACGGCGCGCCAATGGCGCCGCCTTGCGGAAGCCGCGAAGGGCGCGGGCGGACCCGGGGAGGCCGCCCTGCCAGGCCTTGGAGAAACGGGGGATGGCGAGATTGACCAGGGCGAGCAGCTTCTCGCCCTGGTCAACCTTCCACCCGTCCAAATAATTACCATCAGCTGCGCCAGCGCCTCGCACACGCCCTCGCCTTCACTGAGGTCGAAGCCGCGGTCGACCGCGAAGTCCCAGAACTCCCTGCGCCATCTGCAGGCAGCAGGGGGTCGACTGCCCCCCGGCGGTCTTCATCCCGAAAAGGCTCACCAGATGTCGTGCGGCTAGAGAGCTTCTCCCGCATCTCGCGGCCCTCCGCCCAAGCAGAGGCCCGGCGGGCGCCAGGCGCGCGCCCGAGACCTGAATGCCGCGGGCCCGCTGCTTGCGGCCCCGGTCGGCATTCGCCGGCAAGGTCCCCGAGGCGGTCGCCGCCATCTCCACGCGGGCCACTCACTTCTCGGAGAAAGGAGGGCGCCAGCCGACGAGGGGCCCGCCGCGCCCGACCCACCTCGGGACGCGGCACCTCCGCGGGACGGCTGGCAAACAGCCCCAGCCGGGCACCGGCAAGCGCCTCGCCGCAACCGCGCTCGGCGCGACTCGGAGGCAGGGGGAGGGGGGCTCATCTGAGAGGCCCGCGGCGGTGAGATTGGCCACCCGCCCCGCCCGCCGCAGCTCGAGCCACGAAAGCCCTCGCTCACGCCGCGCGAGGCGGCGTCGGCGACATTGATCTCCAAAGGAATCCACCGCCAACGAATCGCCATATCCATCGCCACGGTCCACGCTGCATTATCATGCCCACTCCTTCTACGAAGCGCCGCCGAAGAGCATTGCCACGCTAGGCGACCAGCAGGGGCCGAGCATCGGCGTCCTCCTCCACTGCGTCCGACGCCAAGGCGTAACACTCTAGAAATTCGTTCAACGTCTCCATCGACATCGTGGGCGAGCCGCCGATACGCAGCAACGTGAAAGCAGGAGAACCATCAGATCGGTGCGCAGAGCCACGAGCAAACGCCTGACCACTAGAGTCAGCAACCTTCCAGATATTCGCGTCCGGCCCACTGGGCGGCCACCGACTCGGGAGCACATCTCCAGCTCCGTCCCCCTTCTGCTCTTCATCGTCGTTAACGGCACGAGCGCGGAGAAGAAGGGAACATCCAGCAAGCCGTCGCCGCGCCCAGCCCGAAAAGCATGTCGGACCGGTGGGCCGGGTCCGCGCCCGATGAGCTGGCCGACGACGCTCCCTTCCGCACTAAGCACTCTTAGCGTTTGCAGGCCCCCCGGCACGGAGATCTCCTGCGGGTACACGCCGCCGTCCGCCGTCAACATCCACCACACCCAGCGGGACGCCAGAGGCTCCTCCCCGCGCGCCGCCTTGCAGCTCGCCACCGAGCTCTTCCTCAGCACGACCCAGTCTCCCACAGGTCCGTCTCACCCCCGTAAAGCAAGAGGAGCTTGAACCCGGCCCGCAGCACCGGCTTCACGACCCCAGCGGCAGCCATCGCGACAGCAGGAGACCAGCGAGAAGAGGCCGCCCACCACCACGCTCTGGTAGAGGGCGAAGCCCCCGACGACCGCAGAGATCAGCTCAACGCAACAGGGGATCCCGTCGGCCGAGATGCGGACGGCCTCGCGCCACCCACCGCTGTCGGCGGACTTCACCTCCTTGACGGTCCGCAGATCCTCCAACACTGAAGGGGCCCTGGGACACACAAAGAAATACACACGAATAACAGGAGTCCCCATATTTCTGCCTATTTCCTGGATTTTCGTCTTCCCCCACCACTGCCCCTATTTTCCCATCTTTTCCTGGGAGTCGACGATTCATTGTGTCTGTGTGTTTCTGTCCCCTCCTGAAACACCTCCGAAAGGTCCGGCGGGCAGGAGGTGGGGCAGCTCATGACGACCTACCAGACCACCCCAACCCAACCCGAAGACCCGAATTTCGGGTTGGGGGGGGTAAGGGTTCCACACGTGCTTTTTCGATGTTTCCCGACCCCCCCCCCCACTGGAAATCGAGGGTAAATCTGAGCCTTCGGGTTGGGTTGGGGTGGTTTGGTGGGCAGCGGCAGCTCAGGTTGTAGGCCACCGGCGGCGCCGGCGCAGGGCAGCTGCAGGCACGCCCGACCGTGGGGTGCCCGCCAGAAGGCGCGGAGGCGGCGGGGCCAAGCAGGTGCCGGCGAGCGCAACGAAAGAGGCGCCCGGCTCCCTCTGGAAGGGTATCTCACCCTTAGAAAGCTGGAGCCGTAGCTCTACGGCGGAGAAGGAGGTGGAGGAGGAGGAGGAGGAGGAGGAGGAGGGGGAGGAGGAGGAGGAGGAGGAGGAGGAGGAGGAGGGAGAAGGGAGGGAGGGGAGGGTGGGAGGGAGGGTGGGAGGAGGAGGAGGAGGAGGAGGGGGAGGAGGAGGAGGAGGAGGAGGAGGAGGAGGAGGAGGAGGAGGAGGACATGTTCCGCATTTCGTCTCGTCTGTAGAAATGACACGGCCTAGGCTGCAGCATCCCCTCTATCAAAGCACAATAAATACCTGCATCGATTCATACATATACATATATGAATGTATACAAGTGTATTATATATAAACATATGTACAAATTCGTGTGTAATAGCCAGCGTTGATCCCAAGCCGTGCGATTATATATCAATATTTGAAGACCTATATAAACAGAGCCGTCAACGTGGTGCAATATGTGCGGTGCAACATGTGTTACGATATATACGTTGTGATTTCTACGTTGTGCAACACATGTTGTGCAAGTGGTGTGGACACACCTGTGGGGTGATGTATCACAAAATATTTGGTGCCATCGGCTGTGCGGATTTGGCTTGCCGCTCCGTGCCCCAGCTCCAGTTTCCAGTACGATACCTCTGTCTTCTGCTTTCCATCTCGCGCTGTCTGAACTTCTGGGGGACGCCCCCGATGCAAACAGTGCCTCGTGGACTACGCTGTGTTCCCGTCCCCAGGGTCAAGATCACTCGTGAGTTGCGCCGATTTCGCGCCCCCGAGGCCACCGTTTTTTGTAAATGACCTCCCATATCGCGCTCCCCGATGCCAGCAATGCCTCGTGGACTGCGCTGTGTTCCCGCCCCCGGGGCCAAGATCACGCGTGAGTGACGCCGATATCGCGCTCCCCGATGCAAGCAATGCCTCGTAGACTACGCTGTGTTCCCGCCCCCGGGGCCAAGATCACGCGTGAGTTACGCCGCTGTCGCGCCCCCCGATGCAAGCAATGCCTCGTAGACTACGCTGTGTTCCCGCCCCCGGGGCCAAGATCACGCGTGAGTTACGCCGCTGTCGCGCCCCCCGATGCAAGCAATGCCTCGTAGACTACGCTGTGTTCCCGCCCCCGGGGGCCAAGATCACTCGTGAGTTACGCCGCTGTCGCGCCCCCCGATGCAAGCAATCCCTCATAGACTACGCTGTGGCCCCGCCCCCGGGGGCCAAGATCACTCGTGCAGTGACGCCGCTGTCGCGCCCCCGGGGCCACCGTCCCTCGTACGGTACGTCGCGCTCGCCGCCCCCGCGGCCACGATCGTTTGCAATCGATGCGAGATTCGCATCCCCAGATACACGACCCCAGGTAAATCACACCATGCTCGCGTCCCCGAGGCCACGATCGCCTGCAATCTATGCGAGATTCGCATCCCCAGATACACGGCCCCGGGTAAATCACACCATTACTCGCGTCCCCGAAGACACGATGCCCTAGCAAATGACATTGGATTCGCCTCTCCGCGGCCACGATCCCTCCCAAATTATTCGGCGCTCGCGTTTCCGCAACCGCGGTCCCTCCCAAATTACGCGGTGCTCGCGTCCCCGAGGCGACGGTTGCTTGGAAATGACGCAACATTCGCCTCTTCGAGGCCATTTGTAAAGCAATCGGCGTTCGCCTCCCCGAGCCAACGATTGCTTGTACGAAGTATATAATACTCGCACCACCGAAGACACGATCCCCTTTGAAATTACTCCATATTCGCTTTTCCTCGGCCACGGCCCCTGGTAAATTATGCAATAGTCGCGCCCCTGAAATGCAGATAGTATAATTGACCTGTGTGTGTTGCCTGCTTCAACCTTTCCCTCATGCTGTGTACCGGAGGCCATCTTGGAACGACTGCGGGCTGCTCGAGGCTACGTTGGGCCAAATCGCGCGACGTGGACTGTCTTCGGGATCCTCCGCGCTCTCGACGAGGGACCGTGACTTTGGGGACGCGAATATGGCGCAATGTATATGGAATCCACGTCCGGAAGGGACGTGCTGAGCGGCAGCGTTTTTCGGCGAACGCCTTAATGCAACGTATCCAATGTACCCAATGGTTGCATAGTTGCCACATATTGCATTGTGTTACATGATTATGTCTCCCCCCTAACCCCCCCTGGGAGCCGCGCCACAGGAACGGACCAAAATGGTCGGCCCTCCTTGCGGGGGCCCAAACCTACAAAAACCCATGAAAAATTAACAAATTCGGCCTCTTGGGCCTCTGGGGACTCCAAGAGGGCCTCAAGATGGCCCCAAGACGGCACAAGATATTCCCAACGGGGGCCCACGAGGCCCCCTAGACGGCCCCAAGAGGGCCCCCAAAGCCCCAAGGACGGCCCAAGAGGGCCCCAAGAGCGCCCACAAGTGCGCCTCCAGAGGCCGAAATGAATGATTTTCCTATGGTTCTTTTCCAATATTTTAGCGTTGTCGCCATTTTCGACTCTCAAACATCCATGACGGCCCAAGCAGCTTCCAGAATCGCCCCGGAACAACCCCCAAAAAACCCAAGAGGGCCCCAAGACGGCCCAAGAGGGCCCCAAAACGGCCCAAAGAGGCCCCCAAGACGGTCCAAGAGGCCGCGAAGACGGCCCAAGAGGACCCCAAGAGGGCTCCAATGCGGCCGCGAGAGGCCCCCAAGACAGCCTCCGAAGGGGCGAAACGGCGCAAAAGCGCCCCAAGACGGCCCAAGACGCCCCCAAGAGGCCCCGACCCCCAAGAAGCCTCCAAGAAGTCCCCCTGAAGCCTCCAAAAAAAACCCAAAGGCCACACAGCGACTGGAGTGTAATGTTATGTTCCCCCCTCTGGGCGAACTGCGGCGCAGCGCCAGCCAGGTGGAAGTTGGTCACTGCGGCGCCCATGATTAGAGCCGGCGCTGGAAGGGAAGATGGGGAGGGTGCATGAAAAGGAGGGAGGAAGGAAAAGCCCCCAAAGAAGTCCCCAAGAGGCAAAAAGAAACTCCCAGGAGGCCTCCAGAAGGCCCCCAAGAGGCTCCCAAGAGGCCCCGCGACGACGTGACTGTACGTGCTCTGGACGTGCACCCCGCGAAGCGAGAGGAATCGCTGCCTCGGGGGCGCGAGCACGGGGTAATTCACCAGATCTCGCGCTCTCCGCGCGAACATTGCGTCATTGATTGAGGATCGTGCCGAGGGACGCGAACATAACAGAACTTACTACGGGCCGTGGCCTCGGAGACGCGACTATTGCGTCAATTGCAAGTCGTGGCCACGAGCGATCTTCGCCTCGGGAACGCGAATACTGCGCAATGCACTAAGGACCGTGGCTCCGGGGGCGCGCACATTGCATGATGTTTTAACTCCAGCGTAATTTGGGAGGGAAGACGGGGAGCGGATACAGCAGCACGATGACAAGCTCAGCGATGCAATCATGAAACAACTGAGCAACCTCAAATACCGTGCGCCTGAATGGAGTTTGAGCGTCAGGCCGATGCGAACAATGGCTTACAAAAATAACCGTTCTCTCTGCAGTGCCCCCGGACCCAGGAGGAGGAGGAAGCAAAAAGAGGAAGAGGAGGAGGAGGAGGAGGAGGCCTGCTGCACACAGCGAAATCGCGCCAGAGACTAAAACAGTGAATCTTGGAACATGGAGGCAGCTCGCATCTCCATCCAACATTGAAAAACCACTGGGCTCGAAATCAAGCGAAACGCTACGTAAGGAGCACGACGACGAGAAGAGGAATCAAGGAGGCGGCGCGCAAGGAGCACCACAACTAGCAGGCGAAGTGCCGTACATCTGACGCAATCCCCAAGCTTCTGAGTGCGGCCCTACCGCATATCAAGACGGCCACGCTGTCGGCGCAGGCGGCTGGCGCGGGCGAGCATTGCATAATGTACGATGGACCGTGGTCTCGGTGACGCGAAATCCATGTAATTTGCAAGGGATCGTTCACTCGGGGACGCGAGCATTTACTTGAGACCAAAAAATAAAGATAGCGGCCTCGGAAAAGCGAATACTACATGATTGATCGGGGATCGTGGCATCTGGGATGACAGAAATGTAATGTATATAAAAGGGTCGTGGCCTCGGGGGCGCGAAAGTGATGCAATTTGCGGTGGATCTTGGCCCGCGCGAACACATCATAATTTACAAAGGATCAGTGCCTCGCGGGCGCGACTCTCGCGTACTTTATGCGTCCCACGCTGTTCCAGAAATTCTTGCAGCGCCATCCGGGGACGCTGGCCAAGGCCCTTTGCGGTTCCCCCCTTTCGCGCGGTCATTAACAATAACACGGGCGACTTGAATTCCAAACAACCGACGTCATAAGTTGTTCGTAACGTGGGCGCACTGAGATCTTGACCAACTCCCTAGAAACAGTTTCCATCCTGAGTCGTTTTCTGACACATCCGGCGCCCAGTCAGGCAAGGGCCCCCGGAATCCAAAAATTGCGAGAAAAAAAAGGTTGTATTTTTCATGACCGGAAGGGTCTGGAAATCGGAATTGATACAGGGGGCAACAAGCCGAATGCTCGCAGCATGCTGGCCCAACAGAGGGACCGGCGGAATACAATCTATGTGATGCAATCGACGTTGCGCAACGCGCGTGGTGCAATTTACGTAGTGCAACTCACTTGCCGAATTCGAAATTGTCAACTCCAGTGATCGTGCAGTCATCCCACCCACCCACCCGCAA